TTTCCTACATATAGGATGAAGACAAAGGGCAGGCAGGGGTCTTGCTCCTCATAGCTCAATACCTTGAGATACAAAAGCAGTTCCTCAACTTGGCTCTGATCACAGGAGGGCCCCCGCAAGAGGAAGGCTGCTGAGTCACCTTCCTGGAAGCATGCAGTGCCTAAGAGTGGCCAGCAGAGGGAAGCACTGAGTCCCCTGTTTCCAGGTCACCTTCAGATCCTCCAGGGGAGCAGAGAGCTCAGAAGAGGTGTCTGCACAATGCTTATATTATGCTCAGGAGCTGGAGAGAGCAGGGGACACTGGGTAATTACTCCAGATAGAGAAGTGGACCCTGGAAGCTGTTGCAGACTATACTCTTGCTGCTAAAATGCCCAAAGATATCGTTTTCTTTTTTGATCTTCTCAAATTCAGGTGGGTCAAGTTTGAGCACGGCAGGTGGTATCAGCGTGGGCACCATGGAGCCATGTAACCTGAGAATCATTGCTCTGGAGTGTCCTCTTACCTGAATGTCTCAGGTAAGAAATGCCATGTTTAAGTTCACACACATGCAGGATAAAAAGCACAGGTTGTTTTATTCACTAGGAGAAAAAAAAATCCCACAATTTCAAACTAATCTTCCAACTGCTCCAATAGACAACAGCAGTGGGGCAGAAGTTGATTATTCTGTTCACATTGAGCTCAGATGAAGACAGGAGAAGCTCAGTCCTAAAGTATCTAAAGAAACAAATTTATAACCATTTATATTGGTCCTCTTTATCCTGCTGTATCTGGACTCTGGCCTGGACAAAGAGGATGGACACAACCTTAGCACTTGCAGATAAACTCACCAGAGCCTCAGCCCTGAGAGGGTGATCTATATTTCAAGCATAAATTTAATTTCAACTTGTACCTATTAAGACAGCCTCATTTTAGGAAATGAACAAGACCCTGTGGTCTCTCTGTGCTGTCATTAAAGTTTTCTTTTGTTCATTCAGTGCACTCAGGGTGGGTAGATGTCACCACTGCCCATGTCATAGCAGGGACAACACAGAATCTTGCTCAGGCTGTTTCCTCCAGGGCCAGGCAAGGACAGCCTCACATAGTGTCACAGGGACACAGGCTGAAGATGCACCATCCACTTGTAAATCCCATGGTCTCCAGACCCTGTAAATCCCATGGTCTCCAGCTGGTGTGGGATAGGAGCCCTGGAAAGGGAGTGACTTATTGAAGGTTATTTTTACCTTTCATTTGTTGAGGGCCACAGACAAGTCAAGACGGTGCCTGGCACTTTGCCAGGAGGAGTGGTTTGAGAAGTAATGCCAGCAAGCCATTAAGATGATGGAGATTCCTTAATGACTGACTGCTGTATGATGTTAATTAAGTTAAGCTGTGTATAATTATTAAGATAATGAGGATTCCTTAATGACTGATTGCTGTAACTGGGTTGATGCTAAATTGAGTCACGCTGTGTATTCAGTTATGTATATATACCTCTGATGTCCTACAATAAAGCAGATCCTGCTGTATCAACCTTCACAAGTTGCTTGTCACCCCCCCCCCCACCCCACCCCCCCCCCCCCCCCCCCCCCGTTATTTTGCCTGGTCAGACTGCGGCAGATGATGGCCCATACAGGGAGCCCTTGGATGCTCTGGGGTGAGTGACAAGGTAGGCTGCCTGTCCCTAGAGATAGATGGGACAGGAGCAAACCTGCTCATCCCTGGAAAGGGCGAGAGGAAGGATGGCCATCTCAGGAAAATGGAGAAGATTAATACAGTATGTTTGTGTCTTGTTTTGTCTTGGTGTGTTTTATTGTCTTTGTGACCAAAATATGGAAGGGGTGTTAATAAATTGCTGAAGGAAGGAGGCACCCCAGTGGAACCAAGAACAGTTAGGGCATACATTGATAAAAGCCCAGGAACTCTAGTCAGAAAGAGGAAGAAAGTTCAGAGGAGGAAGGACTATCAGAAAAAAAGTTGCAACAAAAGGCTACTACTAAATACTTTTCATCACTGGAGGGTGCGTGAAGGGTGTGGCAGCTGGGAGCCTGTTTCAGGCGCAGCAGGGAATTTCCAACCTAGCAGTGGCTCCCCCCCACCCATGGGACTGCCCGAGGACACTGCACCTAGCTGTGGAGGATGGCAGGTGCCCCTGAAGTTTGGTCTTTTCCAATGTCAATAACTACAATGGTTCTCCCACACCTGGAGGCTAATGAATAATGAGCACCATTAAGGCCTATTTCAAATGTAAAAAACCTTCAGATAATGTACTAAATTGTTCAGAAGGTTGTTTTTTAGTGCATGCTGGAATGCTACATGATTTTCTTTAGCCATCATTGCCAGAGTTCCTGCCTTCATCCCAGTGCTGGTGAGGACGAGGATGGAGGGATTTCCAGTGTTGCTGAGAACCGGATGAGATTTCGGATCATCATAGCTGTTGCTGTTTCTGCTGCTACAGCTTAAGCTAGCTGCCTGCAGAACTTACCTGGACTGTGAACTTACCTGGACTGTGAATCTATTGAGAATCTATTGAGCTTTGAACTTATCTGGACTGTGAACTTAACTGGACTGTGATTTAACTGGACTGTGATTTCTATTGAGACAATAAATTGTAATGGTGCCAGGGTATCTTCTGTGGAACAATTTTTCCAAGGGCTTCTTACTTGGAGCCATCAATTGGCTAGGTATTGTGGCATTTTGTATCCTCTCCTTCTGCTTGTAGCAGATTATTTATGGTGTTTGTGTAAAAACCACTATGGTCATTATCCACAAGTATGGCTGAGTGTGTTGGGCCAGTAGTCAAAGATGGGTAGGATCCAATTACAATGGTACCAACCTAAGACAAGATGCTGACAATTTGAGGTCAGACCATCCAATGATGGGTAAGGACCGTATGTAGTATTGTACAACCTAAAACAGGCATGGTCCCTAAGCCACATACTTGTTGTTAATTAAACAAAAGGGGGAGATACTGAGGGCCACAGACAAGTCAAGATGGTGCCTGGCACTTTGCCAGGAGGAGTGGTTTGAGAAGTAATGCCAGCAAGCCATTAAGATGATGGAGATTCCTTAATGACTGACTGCTGTATGATGTTAATTAAGTTAAGCTGTGTATAATTATTAAGATAATGAGGTTTCCTTAATGACTCATTGCTGTAACTGGATGAGGCTAAATTGAGTCACGCTGTGTATTCAGTTATGTATATATACCTCTGCTGTCCTACAAGAAAGCAGATCCTGCTGTATCAACCTTCACAAGTTGCTTGTCACCCCCTGGTTATTTTGCCCAGTGAGACTGCGCCATTTACTGAAAAGTATTTTCTTAAAAAGAAACAACATCACTGTTTCCCTGGTCAGACAGTAGAAGAGATAGTGAAGAACAACACCATATTTGGCCAAAAAAACTATAAGATGCTAATAACATCATGTAAGGTAGGTACTCCAGTGTGCAGGCTCACTCAAGGAAGCACTGCTGCTCTTTACAGCCAACAGAAATTAAAGTCTCACCAATTATTTTAGAATTTCTTACTATTTCTCTGCATGTACAGTGTGTTTCTGTGTGAAATATTGCACCAACTAATTTCAACCATGACCATTTTATTCTCACTCCTCTTTTGTGGGAGAGGAATCAGGAGGGGCTTCCCAGGTGGTTCTGGGTCAAGATTTGTCCCCAGGTGTTGTGGAGTGTTAACCACAGGGGCAGCCATGGAAGGACTTCTATGGTGGGTCTCCAGGGGCCTCCCCTATGTCAGCCAGCTGATAGTGCCATAGCAGTGGCCTGGAGTTCTCACTGTGGCCCTGTCCTGGGCTGCCTGGGGGTCCTCACCAGAGGTCCTCTAGCTTCCCTGGAGCAGTTCTCCTCCCAGGGTGGTCAGCAGGCAGAGATCTTAGTGTCCTGGCCTCTGGAGTCACTCACTGCCACTTTCTGGTCATGGATTGGTAAGAGACCACCCCTGTCCTGTGTGGAGGGGAGAGTGTGAACAGCTGGAGGGAATCAGGAGGCAGGGCACTGGGACATCCTGGTGGCTGAGTCTGTTCCTGACTGTCCCCCTGGAGGCCTCCTGCCTGGAGGATCCTCTCAGTTTTCCTAGCAGCAGGATTCTGCAGGAAACAGTGGTCAACTGTGCTGTCCTCAGGCATTTGACTGTGATAAGTTACACACCCCAGGGTGCCTCCTTATAATTTTGAGGTCAGGTTGCATTAGCTATCACAGACATTCAAATAAGAAAAGAAAGATTTTAAAATTCATTCCTGTTTTCCATCTTTGTACAAATGAGACCTTCATCTACTGCCACCCACCTTTGCCTGGACACGTCATGTGGGCATTTCCTGTCCTCTGCAAAGACCCAGGATATGTGCTCCAGATTCTGTGTGAAATGTTTCTATATTTTCAATCTAAAAATCTCTATTTTCTAGCTACAGAAACTTGGGTTGAAAGTTATCTTTTAGTATTTGAAGATGTTATTTGTGTTCCTTTCCTTCCACTGCCTCCCTTCTTTCCCCTTCCCTCCCTTTCTACCTCCCCTCCTGTCCCTCCTTCTCCCTCTCCTCTCTTCTTCATATGATGTGTTATTTTGCAGCAGGTCTTATTATTATACCAGCATTATTAGTCTATATTAATTAGCTTAACAGTTTTTTGAGTAATGAATCCACTCTGAGTTATATTTGAGGTAAAATAGAAGCTCTTCTTTAATTCATCTGCCTGTTTACAGATTTAGTCTCTGCTCAGAACCCTCTGTCCAGGCAATGTGACTCTGTATCTGCTGAGGGCTTTGCATGGGCCCTGCACCAGCCCAGCTGCCACATTTTATAAACAAAGTCGTTTGCCTTGAGACCTGAGCTGAATCAGGCAGGCAGGGAAGCCAGATGATGTCCCAGATACCGTGGTTCTTGTTTCTGTGGCGCTGGGACTTCAATGTCTTCATAATCGTATGCTGGGTTTCTGTTCTCACAACTAAAAGGCTCAGGGTTCAGTTAAACTGGGCTAACTGGGCTGCACGAAATAACCACACAAGAGACACAAATACCTTTTTCTTTGGGGTCTCTGTGATGGCTCCTCTGACCTTAAGGGTCCTCAGAAAGAGAAAGAGCACACTCTGACCCCTTTTATTGAGGAGAAACTATTCAAATGAGGCAAGGGGTCAGGTTTCAGGGGGCTGAGTCTATCTTCATGATGTCCACTGTCAGCAGGTTGACTGACACCTGGGTAGGCCACACCCAAGGGCACAGTAAGAGAAGGGGACACACACAAGGCACTTCCATGGAAGATTCCATCCTAAACAGGGCAAGGGGTTATATTACAAAGGAACAGGTGAGCATAGCTTCACCCATGGGGCTGTAGCAAGACACACCCATGCACAAGACACCAACCCTCAGACCCAAGAAGGGTGGGGAAAGCTCTGCCACATTTTTGTGACTGAACGCCTCAGCACCCAGCCAGGGAGTGTGACTCAGTCATGTGCAAGGTTGGTCTTCCACAGTCATAGAGTTGGAAAAGGCATTAAACATGTGCTGGGAAATTATGGTGAATTCCAATATGGGCATAATTATGAGCTGATCACACATCCCTGGAGAATGGCTGTTAAATGATATTTCAAAGTGCATATTATGAAATGTGCACCTGTGTGTGAGTGTGTGTGTGTGTGTGTGTGTGTGCTGAGAGACAGAGAAAGAGATATAGATTAGGGTCCAATTCTGATTTTCTTGATTGACAGTGCCTTTGGGGACAAGGTGATGACCCAGTCTCCAGGCTCTCTGGCTGTGTCTGCAGGACACATGGTCACCATCAGCTGCAAGTGTAGCCAGAGTCTTTTATCCAACCACAAGGACTACATGCCCTGGCCCCAGAAGAAGCCAGGATGGGCTCCCAGGCTCCTCTCCTGGGCATCCAAATAGGCAGCTTGAATCCCATGCAGCTTCAGGGGCAGTGGGTCAGGGGCAGATTTCCCTCCCCATCAGCAGCCCCAGGTTGAGATGTCACAGGTTGTTCCTGTAGCAGCACCACAGTGCATCTCCCAAGAGCCTCAGCCTCAGCCTCAGGCACAAGCCTCCACCAGGCTGAGGGTCAGGGAGCTTTTGCTCAGCTGCTTCCCCCTCACAGGGTTCTGGGCTTTCCTGCTTCCTCTCCCCTCACAGGTGACATATTTTGATTGATTTCTTGGAGGATTTGCGGGCCTAGGAGAAAATCAAGATTGGAACCTTAATTGGCCTTGTTTCTGCTTGTTCATCTCATGGGAGTCACCAAGCCCAAGGCTGAGCAGGTCTCCTGGGGACAGTACAAGAGTTTTCAGGTTACAGGAATCTGTGTGTTTCCATGGATAGATCACATGACTGAGCCAACGTTAGTCTTCACCTCAAAGGAGAATCTGGTGGCTTCCACACTCTGATGACTAGTACTTCCCTGTGCCTCGTCCAATATAGAAGGTACCAACTTTTATTACTTGTCCTCCCGGCCTCCTTCATGACACGTAATCTCCTTCCACCTGGGTCCTTCCAGCATGAGACTCTTCACCCAGCAGTTCAACCCCCTCATATAGAGACTCTCTCTCTCTCTCTCTCTCTCTCTCTCTCTCTCTCTCTCTCTCTCTCATTAACCTCTCTCTATTATTACCTACCCCTCTGTTTTCATCCTTTTTCAGACCCTGCCTTCTGAGGAACCTTTCTGGTGAGGTCCTTTGTAAGTTGTCCCCTGTTCTCCCTCCTCTTGTCGTCATATGCTCGAACTTCTGTCAGCTGTTATTAAAGTTTCCATTTTAGTTCCAGAGTTCATTACAAAATTGCATAAAATAAGTTTCTGGACAAAAGATGAATTTCCACTCCAGTTGAAGACCTCTGATTCTTTACCAGAGTCCTGCCCAGGGCCCAGGTCCTGCTCCCTCTGCAGTGTCCACACTCATCCTGTCTGCTCATTCAGAAGGCAACTGGACACCTCTGTGTTGTCCTCCACATGCCAGGCCAGGCTGCTGCAGCTGACAGGGCCACTCATGGGTGTGGTGAGCTGTGGCCCAGGCAGTCATGGTCCACAGCCCTCAGCTGCACCCTGTTCCCTGAGTTCCCAGCACCTTCCTCTCACAGGGCAGAGAATCTGCTGAGCTGCTGCCCAGATCTACAGAACAGGTGGCAGCTGGGCCACCCAGGCAGGGAGGTTTTTGTGCGGGGCTACACCACTGTGGGAGGAACCTGTGTACCTTGGACACAGTAATATACTCCAGCATCCTCAGCCTCCACCCTGCCAATTGTCAGTGTGAAATCTGTCCCTGATCCACTGCCACTAAACCTGTCTGGGACCCCAGTGTCCCTGTTGGAGACCTTATATATTAGGCCCTGTGGAGCCTGGCCTGGCTTGTGCACAACCCAGTGCAAATATGTGTTTCCATCACTGTGTAGGAGGCTCTGACTGGACCTGCAGGAGATGGAGACTGACTGTCCAGGGGTGATGGGCTCAGAGAGAGGAGTCTGGGTCAGCACAACATCCCCACTGGTTCCTGCAAAAATCACAGTTCAATGAAAGATTATGTAAATACTTTAGAAAAAATTTTGCATTTTCCTTTATTGTATATTTCAGGCTAAATTATTTTTGGTGTTTTGATTTATACAATAAAATTATTCATATTGAAAACCACCTCAAATGTTATAAGCTATAAGAACCTCTCTAGAATTTACCTACTCCATCCTCCTATATTATGTGGCGACTTCCATCAGAACCCTGTAGCTTGCTCCTTCTGGAATACTCTCTCACATTAATTGACCTTCAGCTGCCTCATCCTGGAGGACAGACCTGCACATCCCACATGTGGACAGAGCACACATGACAGAATGGGGGCCCAGAGCTCACCCCCCTCCCCCTTTTCCCTCCTTATCTCCTCTGTCCTCACCAGGGATCCAGAGGAGCAGCAGCCCCAGGAGCTGAGCAGGGAGCCTCATTTTGAGAAGCTGAGATGAGGAGTCCTGGTGAGTCAAGGGCAGGTTAGAGCTGAGCTTTTATGTCAGCCTTGCAGGAAGGCCCTCCCCAGGGAGCAGCATGCAAATGCCCTGGTGGGTGCTGGGTGAGGAGTGTGAGGGAGTGTGGGACCTGCCTTGTGAGTCCAGGGTCATCAGATGTCTTATATATTTGGAGGAAATTTAATGGAGGGACAGCCCGGGGTGCCTGTGGCATGGACATTATGCTTCATCATGGGAGCCTTGTGTGTGGAGGGTCATGGTGCCCAGTGCCTGCCATCCTAAGTCAGCACAGACACAGGATGTGGAGGCTGCCTGCAGGTCAGCCTCTGAGAAGGGAAGAGCAACCCTGGTGGCTCCCTCCCAGCTTGGTGACACGTTCCACCTCACAATATTGATATTTAAATTTCTATCATCCACAACATTGGGTAGAGGTAGTTCAAGGGGTTCTGGTGTCTGCTGTGACCTGGAGAAATAGCAGAATGTCAGAAACAGTGTTAGATGTTGATCTTTTTAGTGCTAGTAAATGAAATCTGAGCACCTGGGTCAAAACAAGATGGTGGGAAACGATAGCTGTGTTTTATCTGAGACCCTGTTACCCTGCTCAAGGACAGAGGAGAAGGGACATGTCCACTTGAGGCAGTGAGTGTGAAATTCCCTGGTGCAAGATTTATTAACTGGTGGACATCCTGTCCTAGTTCTGTCCATGTATGTGACACATCAGAGTCATCCAAACTTTTCCCAAGAGAGGAACCCCTTGAGGCCACTGGACAGAATGGATGACCCTTTTTGTGTGGAATCCCTTCCACCTACAGTGAGAATCGTGGCTCTGATTGTCTCTGGTGCATTGTTTCCCACCAACATTTCTCTGACTGAAATCAACCTCTTGACATTGGCCTGCCCTCCATTAGACAGCCTCATGCCCACTGGTGAATGTACCTTGATCCTGCTCTGATACCCCTTGTCAGGACACAACCCACTTTACACACAGGTACAGATGCTGTGTCAATTGCTTTTGTCACTGTGAAAAAAACCTGGGGGGAAAACACTTTAGAGGAGGGAAGAGTTACTCTGGGTCACGGTTTCAGTCCAGGATCAGCTGGCTCCAAGGCAGAAGTATCATGGTGGAAGGGCTGGGTGGAGGAAAGCTGCTCAGCCATGGGTCCAGGAAGGTAAGAGGAAGGGCTCGGGGTAAAGTAGCACCCTCCAGGGCACAATCTCAGTGACCCCCTCCTTCCCATTAGGTTCTATCCCCCAAATTCATTTAAATAATTCACCCATCAAATGGATGAGTACCATAATGAGGTCTTCACCCCGTGAGACTTTGGTGGATCCTTCACTTGTAAACTGTAACAGAAGCCCTCCTCCCACTGCGGCCACACTGCAGTGTGTCTTCCTCACCATGCTCCACATTTGACCTGCACAGGGACCTGCAGTAACACTATCTGCATGAGAAGACACCCTTTTCCCTTTGCTCCAGTGTTCCCTCCACCACCCAGGTGTCCTCTTTGCTGCAGTAGCATGGAGGGTGTTCTAGCCCAGTCTCTGACACACCTTTCTCCTCACAAAGCATGTGCCCCCAGGCTTGCACCAGCCTCTGGGGACAGTATTCTCTTAGGACTTGGGTGAGATTTGGTGACAGAATAATGACAGGTTAGGAAACAAGGTAGACTCAGGGTAGAGGAACAGCTGGTCCAGGGAGAACTTTAGCTTCTGAAGTCAAAGCTCAGGTGGAGCTGGTGGAGGGGCACAAGCAATAATGAGAGGATCTCAGGGAACACATGGCCTGATGGGTGACACAGCCTGTAGACAGGGAGGGAGCTGACCTTTCAGTTGTGGAAGGACCAACTCCTGACCTTGGCAGCCACATGGTCAACCTCCTTCCCTTCCTTACCAACCATGGTGCCTGCACTTGATGTGTTTTGTCCCTTTCTGTTACTTCCTGTTACCTTCTTTGCATTTCTGGCTGGTAACAATGATGATTTTTCATTCCCAGGTCTTCAAGGAGTCAGGTATAGAGGAATCCTCTCTGGACTAAATATTATGCTCAGGTATAAAAAGGAAGAGGTCTATAACTCCTCCTGCAGGGTGTGGTCCTGTGAGAGAGCTCATGAACCTCATCTTGGTTATAGACTGAGCAGGAGAAGTGTGTCCTGAACCTTGATGAGACCAAGAGGTCTCTCTGATCACAGGAAGGAGGGATGGTTCTCTCCTGTGCCTCTCAGGAAACACATTTTCTCTAGGCAAATCTGTGCTGCCCTGGCCTATGTTGGGGCACCTGGAGACACTTGGCCAGGCCTGAAAGGAGCCTCCCTGCAGCTGTGCCCAGCCTGCCCAGCCCTGTTGATTTGCATGTGCCCACAGCACAGCCCACTGCCCTGAGGACTTCTTAAGAGGCTGCTCACACCCTGTGCAGGAGTCAGTCCCTGTCAAGACACAGCATGGCCATGAGGACCCCTGCTCAGCTCCTGGGGCTCCTGCTGCTCTGCGTCCCAGGTAAGGTGGGACAGCACTGGGGATTTGCTCAGACCAATTTCATCAGTGCTGCCTGGTGTTCAGGGAAATCCTCTTATGACATTAGTGTGCATATTTCTTCTCATGTGTTCAATTGTAGGTGCCAAATGTGACATCACGATGACCCAGTCTCCAACCTCCCTGTCTAAATCTCAAGGAGAAACACTCACCATCAGTTGCCAGGCCAGTCAGGGCATTAGCAATTACGTAAACTGGTACCAGCAGAAACAAGGGCAAGCTCCTAAGCTCCTGATCTATTATACCAACCGTTTGCAATCTGGGGTCCCCTCGAGGTTCAGTGGCAGTGGATCTGGGACAGAGTATTCTCTCACCATCAGCAGCCTGGAGCCTGAAGATTTTGCCACTTATTACTGTCAACAGTATAGCAGTTACCCTCCCACAGTGACACAGGCCATGACAAAAACCTCCCAGGGAGCAGAAGTGTGAGGCTGGGCTACCCCAGCTGCTCCTCCTGCTGCCTCCACCTGCTGAGGGCACTGTTCAGAGGCAGCCAGACTCTGAGGCCACTGGGGGGTTTTTCTAGGCCCGGACAAGTTCCTTTCCACCCTGTTTCTTTCTCCTTGTCAGCCCCAGCACTCAACCATAGATCAGGCCCACTGAGTGGGTGTCTCTGAAGGTGTGTGCCCTGCTCTGTGCAGTAGTGCTCCACCAACCAGTGAGTGACAGGAAGCTAAAAGAAGGCCAATCAGGAGAAGAACCATGATGAGTTCTTACCCTGTGGGTACAGGACCCTGGTGCTGGATGAGCTCAGCCAAGATGCCCAGTGGAACAGAATTGGTGTTCAGAGATAGATAAATGCATAGATGGTCAGTTTTTATGACAGAGATGACATTACAAAACCATGAACAAAACTTCTTCATAGGAAAATTTCTCTCTCAGCCTCATGTGCAAACAGTCACCTGGTGTATAAAACAAGCTCAACATCAATAATCATCAGAGAGTGAAAGTTGCAACCAACCAGCAGAAACCTTTAGAAGAAAGGTCACAAAACTGTACCATGAAAAACATGGAGTGCAGTCTGAGGAATGATCTAGAACATTCTCATGTGTTTGGAAATGTGAAATGGTCCCTGTGTTGGAGACCTGCCCTGACCATGCACGTACCTGTGATTCAGGCTTTCCACTCAGAGCACATGCAGATGTGCACAGATTCCCATGTGCAGGGACCTCATAGCATTATCTGTGATAACTGTAACCTGAATCAGCTAAATGCCAATCAAGGGAAGAATGGATAGATAGAAAAAGGGATGTGCATGCAATGAAATACTGTACGCCAGTGAAAATGGCCACTGACTTCAAGAGCCATGCAAGTGACACAGGCCACAGATACACCACAGCTCATTACCCATGATACTATTTTTATGAGGATCAAAAACTGGCAAAATTTGATAATTGCTTAAAGATCACTTAGAAATTGCATGGGGAAAAGGGGGGTCAGTGACTGGTTATTCTTCCTTGAGAGTCTTTTTCCTAGTATTTTCCAGATATTATTCTCTTTCCTTCTGTCTGCATATTTCTTCTGATAGCCACATGGAAGTTCCCTTGTATGTTGTGAGTTGGATTTCTCTTGTGGCTTTCAAAACTATCTCTGTAAATGTTCATAATTTGTTTATATTATATTTTAGTGTGACCATCATTAGGTTAGTCCTATTTGGGACCTTCAAGCATAGTTAACCTGAATGTCCATAATCCTCCTATCATCTGGGAAATTTCCAAGAATTATTACTTTTTACAATCTTTTTTCTTATTAAATGTCTCCTGTTTTTATGGAATGCCTATAAAGCATTTGTTGGTTTTTTTTAACCCTGTCCCATACATCCAGTGTGTTTTATTCATTTCAAATACAGAAAAAAAAAGATCACTTCAATAAAGTGTTAGAGATTGTGAGAAAAATACAAGCAGAAATCCTGAAAATGAAGGAATCAATAAACCAAATGTTAGATTCAAAAGAAGGCATCAAAACACAGAGAACACTTGGAAGACTGAACCTCAGACAATGAAGTCAAAATATACTGTCTTGAACATAGAGTGGAGTATTTCCCTGATTTCTTGATTTTCTTTGCATTAATCATTTCTTTCTTATTGGTTTTCCTCATGGTAACTTGTTAATTATACATGAGGGAATGTTACCTCACATTTCTTTAAAAAATATTACAAACCTATGTTCCAGGTTGAGTGTGGGGAAGAGAACCCAGCTGACCTGGGAAGTTGCATGGAGTCTCCTTGACAGATAGGACAGCAGATGAGCCCTGGACCTCAGTCTGGGATTCTCCCTGGACATGTGCTATGCTCAGGGAGAGGAAAGGGGCTGGGTCAGAAAGCAGAGGACACTTCCCCCATTCCCAGGGGACTCTCCCAGGATCCTGCCTGCTGTGGTTTCTGTGGCCAGTGGATGGCACCTGGGCTCCCACTGCATCTCCTGCTGATCTTCCCAGCCCAGCTCTGCCTTTGGGTCAACATCATATTCACCTTGACCATAATGGCTCTCCTGAGTGACCATCTCCCTGCAGTCATTCCCAGGCATCTGAGCTGGGCTGATGCCCTCAGGTCCCCACCCTTGGACAGAATGGGAACCCCATAGCTCACCCTCCACCACATTCTCCTTCCTCATCCCTTCTGTCCTCACCAGGGGTCCAGAGCATCAGCAGCCCTGGTGACCCAACTAGAAAACTGTGACATGACTTGAGGGTCATCTAGCCAGGATCTTTAGGAAGCCTTGAGGTAGTAGAAACCCAGAGTCTACAGGGCCCCAGGGACAACCTTCCACCCTCTGAGAGACTTATGAGTGACTTTTCCAACTCTGATCCTTCCCCACATGGAGGCAGGCATTCGAGGGGTTCCAGGCAGGGTGAATGGAGTCTGTGTCATCCCTGTACCTCTGCTGAATCCTGTAACCGTGGGGACCACATTGAGTGACCAGGCCTCCCAGTCTTGATGCACCATTGGGACCTAAAAGATCACTGTGTCTGGCAGGGTAGTGCCATGACTCCTGACTTGGTCTTTTATGCCCCTACGGTGGAGTTACACTCACCTGTTTCCTTTGTCATCCTGCCCTTTGCCTGTTAGGGATAGAAGGTTCCATGGAAACTCCCTTTGTGTGTCCCCTTCTCTTGCTCTGCCTTTGTTGTGGCCTTCCTATACCTCAGTCAATCTGCTGACAGCAGACACCACAAAGCTGACTCCACCCCCTGAATCCTGACCCCTTGCCTCATTTGAATGGTTTTTTCCCAATAAAAGGGTTCAGCACTTGCTCCTCTCTCTCATTCCATGGACCCCTAAGGTCAGAGCAGCCACCAGAGGACCCTAACAAAAGGTATTACTCTGTCCTTTTGTGGGTATTTTGTGGAGTGCACTTCACCTGAAGTGACCTTGAGTGTTTAGTTGTGGAACATGACATGTAATAATGAGAGAAATACAATACCTTATGCAAAAATAATAAGTCAATTTTATGCTGTTCATTTTATTAGTTATTGCATGAAAAGTCATTTTTCTGTTTCATTTGTTTATTTGTTTTATTAGGTTTTGATCTGAATTTCACATAGAGCAGCTTTTGGAGGGACCTCTAGCATTTCACTTCTTCTCTTCACTAACTTGGCCACATCTTGCCCAGGGCCCAGGTCCTGCTCCCTCTGCAGTGTCCATGCTCATCCTGTCTGTTCATTCAGAAGGTGCTGGACACCTCTGTGTTATCCTCCACATGCCAGGCCAGGCTGCTGCAGCTGACAGGGCCTCTCATGGGTGTGGCCTGAGCTGTGGCCCAGGCAATCATGGTTGGCAGCCCTCAGCTGCACCTGTTCCTTGAGTTCTCAGCACCTTCCTCTCACAGGGCAGAGAATATGCTGAGCTGCTGCCCAGACCAGAGGTCATGTGGCAGCTGGGCCACCCAGGCAGGGAGGTTTTTTTTCAGGGCTGCACCAATGTTGGAGGAACCTGTGTACTTTGCCAGCAGTAATACACCCCAGCATCCTCAGCCTCCACCCTGCTGAATCTCAGTGTGAAATCTGTCCGTGACCCACTGCCACTGAATCTGTCTGAGACCCCAGTGTAGCGGTTGGAAACCCGATATATTAGGCCCTGTGGAGCCTGGCCTGGCTTGTGCACAACCCAATACAAATATGTGTTTCCATTACTGTGTAGGAGGCTGTGACTGGACCTGCAGGAGATGGATACTGACTGTCCAGGGGTGACAGGCTCAGAGAGAGGAGTCTGGGTCATCACAATATCCCCACTGTTTCCTGTAAAAATCACAGAGCAATGCAAGTTTATGTAGAAACTTTAAGAAAAGTTTTCCCATTTTTTTGTACATTTCAGACTAAATTAATTTTTGTTTTTGATTTATACACTAAAACTACTCACATACATAAAGAACTCAAATTGAGTAAGCTCTAAGAGCCTCTCTAGAATTCTTTTCAATATCCCCTGTGTATTATGTGACAATATTCATCAGAACCAGTCCCTTGCTCCTTATGGAATAATCTTTCACATAAATTGACCTCAGCTCCCTCATCCTGGAGGACAGACCTGCACATCCCTCATGTGCGCAGAGCACACATGGGCAAAATGGGGGCCCAGGGTTCATCTCCCTCCACCTTCTCCCTCCTAATCCTTTCTGTCCTCACCAGGGATCCAGAGCAGCAGCAGCCCCAGGAGCTGAGCAGGAGCCTCATTTTGAGAAGCTGAGCTGAGGAGTCCTATTGAGTCAAGGGAAGGTTAGAGCTGAGCTTTTATGTCTGCCTTGCAGGAAGGCTCTCCCCAGGGAGCAGCATGCAAATACCCTGGTGACTGCTGGGTGGGGAGAGTGAGGGAGGGAGGGGCCTCCTTGTGAGCCCAGGGACATCAGATGTCTTCTACAGTTGGAGGAAATAGAGCAGAGAAATAGCCCTGGGTGCCTGTGGTGTGTGCAGGAGAACCCATCATGGAAGCCTCACTCTGTGAGGGGTCATGGTGCCCAGGGCCTGCCCTCCTAAGACAGCACAGATGCACAGATAGGGAGGTGGCCTGCAGGTCAGCCTGTGTGAGGGATATGACCATCCTACTGTCTTCCTCTCAGCTAAGAAGAGAAGGTGACAAGTGCCACCTCAGAAGTGTTGATGTTTGAAATTTCCTCCAGCCACAGCATGCAGTTGAAGAGGTTCAAGGGCTTCTGGTGTCTGACGATACCTGGAGAAATACAAGAGCATCAGGGACAGTTTAGATGTCAACTTTTCCTGGCCCAGTGACTGAAATAAGAGCAGAATTGTGACAAGAAGCTGGTGGGAAGATAAATTTTGTTTCAGCTGAGGATCAAGTATCCCTGCTCAAGGGAAGAGGACAAGGAGCATGACCCCTGAGGTAGTCACTGTGAAGCTCCTGGGGTGAGGTGTATAACTGGTGGCCATCCTTTCCTAGTCATCTCCATGCATTTGACACTCAGAGCCAACAAACATTTCCCAGGAGATGGACCCCTGAGCCCACGGGACAGTGTGCACAGGGTGGATTCTGCATTATTTCCCTCTCATAGATGATAGAGACATTCCTCCCCATGTTCTCCTCCTTGTCAGGGACACTAGGGAGCAGGTGCCACCACCCTGGGTTTTAAAGTAGATGCCCTAGGTCAGAACTGCAACCAGGCACTCTCCCCATGTCAGAGGTTCCATGTGCACAACTGTTCTCCTGGGACTGGCCCCGAGGTGTCTTGGGGAGAAGGTCCTTTTCCCTGCACAGGGACATTGATTTCAGCCCTCCTCATCCACAGGTGGGACAGAGGGAGCCTGTGTTGTGTTGGCCAACATGGCTGTGCTGCTTTTGTCCCCAGCCAAGGACATCTGACACAGCCTCTCCACTGTGTGGAACTTGGGCCACCAGCAGCGGAGGACACTGCCATATGTTTCTTAGTTTAACTGAACCTCTGTGGCTGTCCTGCCCTTCCTTTGCTCTAGCTTTTGCCCAGGAGGGTGATATTGAACCCTCACCTTCCAGAGTCGGGCTCTTTCCCTTGTCATGATGTTCTCCTCTTCCATCCATTTGCCTGAAATGCCACCATTTCCTTCTTCTTTAAGGCCACGTGTTCAGCCTGGATTGTGTGGGTGTGGACAGATCAGGAGGAGCTCTGTGCAGAAGAAGGCAGAACCTGACCACACTGCAGAGGAACAGAGAGCTGATGGTCCCCTCAGCCTTGAGCCATGTGAGACAACTCCTTCTTGAGTTTAGTTTTCTGATCCTTCTGATGAGATATGGCAGTGTGATGTCTCTCCTAGTTTTTTGTGGGTGAGTAACAAATTCCCCCTTATTGAGCAGTGTGTTCCTTCCCAGGCCTGTTCCTCAGGAGTCCAGGCTGGGTCCTCAGCTCAGCCTGAGAATAATACTGAAATGGAGCAGACAGTGGGCAGCTCTCCTTGCTGAAGTTCAGGGTCTTCTTCCAGGTCCAGTGGCTGAGGCAGAGTCATCTTTCCACAGTTGTAGGGTGAGGTCCCAATTTCCCTGTGGCCATCAACACAGAGCTACTGGAAGCTGCCCTTATTGTTTGAAATGTGGCTCCTGCTGCCTCCAAGAGCTGCATTAGAGCATCTCCTCACATCCAAGCTTCATGGCCTGAGATCCTCCTTCTTCTGCTTCCATGTGCAGATGGACAGGCTTCAATGTTGAAGACAGATCTAGTGTGTACTCCCTCTCTCTCTCTTGTAGATTCAACTTATTTGATTATGTCACAAAATATTTCATAAGAAATTTTATTGAAATTCCTGTTTGAGTACCTGGGGAGTGAGATGATACAAGGCCTGGGGATTGGGGACAACAACTTGGAATCCTGTCCACATACTACCATTTTTTTCACCTACCATAATGACTGGATCCCTGATATTCAGAATTGCATACTGTTTGGAGGAATCAGTTTTAATAAGATCAGGTGATTCCAGGTAAGCAGAAGATAAAGAGGTAACCTGCAGTTGGCACAGGAATGACAAGGGCTTTCACCGTGTTCCTGTGTGCCAGTTGCACCAGGCAATAAGTCCTCAGGAACACATGGCCTGCTTCTCTCCTCGACCCACAGGTTCTCCCTGCCCTTAGCAGACCCCTCAGGCTCCCTGCCCGAGTTCCATGGCCTCCCAGCCTCAGGCCCTGTCTGCCTCCACACACTGACTCTGTGTCTTCCTTCCACAGGACCAGCCTGTCCCTCTCCCAGCCCTAAGCAAGGCTTCTGTGCAGATTGGGAATGTGGCAAAGGTCCATGCATGGCCTCCTAGGCTAGACTCCCAGGCATCAGTCTTGGTCAGTTCACCTATGGATTCCCACCTTAGACCTGCTGACTCATAGTCCTTTCCTGATATTTCAGAGCCCAGGGATCCATCCTGGTGCCCCATGCTGATGTCGTCATGGAAACCAGACACCTGGCCTTGTAGTAGGCAGGCTGGTGGCTTCATCTGGTACCCAGGTCTCTTTCCAGCTGGAGGAGGTTTGGGATGCTCCATGCAGCACCCACCCAGGGAGGATTAGAATCTTGGCTCTGTCTTAATGATTGTGTGTGACATCAGGTTAGTTTCTTCACTTTCCCCACATCTCAGTTTCTCATTAGCAACATGGGAAAAATAGCATATCCTTAGAGAGTTGCCTGAGGATTCACTAAAATAGCATGTGTGAATATTGTGTACTTTAGTATCTGGGCACATACCACATTCTTAGTAATCACTAATTTTTATTACTTAGATCAAGTTTCCTGGGAAACAAATGTACAGAGGGGTTGATGGTCAATGACTTTCGATATTCTTATGTTTTACACAGTAACCAGTATCATCTTAAAACAACAAAGCAGCTGAACTTGGGGTGCATCCTTGGGATCCCAGTGACTTAGAGTGCTGGGGTAGGAGGATTGCAAATTAGAGGCCAGCCTGGGCCACTTAGCAGGACTTTTTCAAAATAAACATAAATAATCAAACCCAGATACCTGTCACATTCTCCCCTGGGTAACTCTTTGGTGGTTTCTCACTGAGCTTAGAAGCTTATTCTTCTTGTCCTAGGGAGACACCCTTGGTCCCCGCACTTGGCCTGTGGGTTTGGAGCCATGAGGGAGCTCTGTAACCTTGCTGCCTAGATCTCAGCCCATGGAGAGAGCCACTGCCTTGGTAAGCGTGGGCCTGGCATTTCCTGCCCCCCCCCCCAATTTCCCTGCAGTTCTAGAGATCTAACCCAGAGTCTCCCACATAGTAAGGAGCCCACACCTGCCAATGGCACCTCAGAACTCAGACGTAGGTGAGCTGTGACAGTGGTTTCAGTGACCACCCTGACCACTGTTGCTGCCTGGTGGTATTTCTTAGCAGGCCCCTCTCCCTGGAGCTCTCTACCTGGGCCCCCTTCTCTGACCTGCCCATCACTGAGTCCTTCTCTCTCAGACTTCTGCCTACACTTGCAGAAACTGCTGCTGCCTCCCTTCCTCTGGTTTTCTGTGGTTCTGGACCTGCTCAGAGCCCTAGAGCTGTCTCCTGAGGAGTCTGGGTGGTGGGCCTTTATCCCCCAGCTTCTCTTCTGCAGGGAGCTGGAACCCTGACCCTTCTATGTGGAGGGCTCTGTTCCCAGGCCAGTCCCCTCTGCATGAAGACAGGGGTCTCTGGTGTTTAGAAGTAATTTGTGCTCCTGGCCTCCTAGCACATGCTTGGAGTAGGCCAAAGCTAAAGAGGCCTTGGCTCTGGAGCCAAGTTTAACAAGCTCCCCAATTTTCATATGTGTATGAGTTATATTTAAATGCAATATTAAAGAAAACTAAATGAATGTAAATATACTTCAGTATTAAATAAAGTGAGAAATTTTTTAAAAGGATCTATCTTGAACATGAAGACACAAATAGGGAAAGTTTTGTGTTGTGGCATTTTGGATTGAAGGATACTTCCATATGTGGATTGTCTTATTTTATCTATCTATCTATCTATCTATCTATCTATCTATTCATTTTTGTCACCACCTGCAGATGCAAGGGGGTTGAGAGAGGAGTGGTAAGCTGGTATTTAAGGACCATCTCAGCAGGGGACTGCATAGCTTCTGCAGTGCATAGAGCCACCTGTGTGTGGTGCTGTCTGCCCTGGGGTGTCAGGAGTGTCTCTCATGAGGGCAGAGCACTAGGGGTCCCTTTGGATGAACCAAGTCCAGGTCCTGGCACACACAGGTTCTGTTCGAGTCTGTTTCCCACATGTAGAATGCAGACAAAGGACAGGCGAGGGGTCTGACTCTTCATAACCCTATATTCTGAGATGCTGAAGCAGCTCTGAGCCATTGGCCCTGCATCACAGGAATCCTCACAAGAGGAAGGCAAATGGCCCTGAAAAAGGAGAGACCTTCAGGGGACTGTGCAAAGTGTGGGTGGACCAGCAGAGGACAGCAGTGAGCACTCTCCTTTCAAGATCCCCTTCAGATCTTGCAGCTGTTCAGGCATCCTGCAGGAGATGGTGTCTGTACCATTTCTGGAAAGTTAGGGAGAGCTGGAGAGTGCTGGGGAAATTTGTCATTGCTCCTGTGGAGTCAGGAGGCTACTGTAGACCCTGGTCTTGCTGCTCATTAGCGGGAGATTTTTTTTTTTTTTATGTCTCTTCTCTTGTTAGGGTGGGCAAAGCTGTCGCTCACTAGGTGGTGTGAGCCTGGGCACTGTGAGGCCACCTGACCTCAGGGAGCATCTCTCTGGAGTGACCTCTTACTTGGAAGTCTCATGGAAGAAGAGATATATTTAATTTCACACACACAGACAGGATAATAGGCACAAATTTTATTACTTGTGATGAGAAAAAGATAAAGTTTGCAAGCTGAGGTTCAAACTGTTCCAAGAGACAAGAATGGGGACAGGAAGGTATTTGTTCACTTTACACTGGTCCTAGATGTCAAAAGAAGTCCATCTTGTAGGAGATCGTGAAATAAGTTCAGCATATTTGGAAAGGTGTATGTCAGATGTCTTTGATCCAGCTGTTTCTTGGATCTGGACTCTGTACAGGAGAAGGAGGACAGGACCCCTGGTTTTACTTGACACCTGGTTTTAGCCTGAGCTTGTCCTGAACTCAGTGAGGGACCTGGTTAGACATATCTGCTCTGCCCTCTTCCCTTGTTCCCAGGCATAACAGTTGGGTTCTGAACTTCTCTCTGGGTGTGAGTGTATGCCCATTTGATAGACAGGTGGGCGAGATGGTTTCCTGGAGATTTGGAGCATTATTGTGGAGAGCAGAGGGCACAGGACCCTGTTCACACAGAGGTGGCTCACCTTCAGGTAGGTTCCTCTCACAGAATTCTGTCCTAGGATGTTCCACTTCTTACCCACCAGAGGGCGATGTGAACCTGGAAATACACTCACCATAGCCTCAGCCCTGGAGAAGCTGATCTATATTTCAAGCATAAATTTAATTTTACATTTTAATTTGTTAAGACAGAATCATTATAGGAACTGAGCGAGACATCATGGTCTCTCGCTGCTGTCACTCAGGTTGTCTTTTGTGCATTCACAGCACTCAGGATGGAGGTCACCACTGTACTTGTCACAGCAGGCACCACAGCATATTGTTAAGGCTGTGTGCTCCTGGGCCAGGCAGGGGTGCTCCACACAGTTATGTGGGGATCCAGGCTAGGGAGCCTCCATCCCCGTGTGTGCACCATGTGGAGCCCATGGCCTCCTCCCTCTGCTACTGTGGGAGAGGAGGCCTGGAATGTGATTGACTTATTGAACATTATTTTTATCTGTTAAAGAAAACTGTGCCCCTCTCCCCCCATCATTCTTTAATAAGGCAAACCATGAAAGAGAAAACAAAAGATACTCTTTATTTTATGAGATATGTCAGCTCATTAGCACTCTTACACTTCATGGACAATTCAGGAACTACTCAACACTTCCAGCCATAGACCTTTTTTTCTGTGATGCTAACATTATACCAGGTACATGCATGTTTATGTTATCCAGGAAAACAACATTATTTTGTGTGGCGAATAGACAATACAGCTTTGCCATCAGTTTTTTTTTTTTAACTTTTTACTGTTTCTCTGCATGTATTGTATAATTTTGTGTAAAATATTGCCCCACCCCAGCAGCTAAGCCATTAGCATTTTACCCTCCCCACCACCCTGCCTTTCTGTGAGTGAGGAATCAGGCAGTGGCTTCCTGTGTGGCTCTGGCTCAGGGTTGGTCTTGAGTATGCTGGGGGACATTGGTCAGTGGTGGAGCAGGTGCCTCTGGGGCAGAAGCTCTGGTTTCCATTCCCACAGCCAGGGGAATGACATTTTCCACTCTGAAACAGTATAATTTTAATTACATTTATTTCCCTTTTTTCTGCCAACACACTGCTTTTCAAGCTCTCCAGTTTTATGTACAGCTCCATCTGTACAAGGTCATTTGTGCAGCCAGTATTAGTGCACATTCACCCACTAATTCATGCCTCCTTGCATCTGCCTTTTACACCCTCCACGTCTCTCTGAGTGATTGCTCTTTGTGAGCAGCATCTTCAGTGGTTTCTCCAAACAAGGACAACTAACTGTCTGGTTTTAATAATAGTTTCCCTTCACCACAATTGCTTCTTTCACCTTTCTGGGATTCCAAATATTTAAAAATTACCTATTCACAGCATTCTTTTTAAATTTACAAAATTTTTCTTCTACATAAATAAATATTCACATATAAATTTAATACTCATCACAAATAGGACCTTTGGATTTTAGTTACATTCACCAGGAGCTCTATTATCTAGGAATCACCTTCATCACCATGGCACAAGCTTCTACACTCTTCATGACATATGAGTGACTTTTCCAACTCTGATCCTTCCCAAGATGAAGGCAGGGAGTCAAGGGTATCAGGCAGGTTGAGTGGAAACTGCATCCTCACTGTATCCCTGCTGCTTCCTGGAAAAAGAAGAGAGAAATACAAGATTGAGTGCCCAATTAATAAGCCATTTCCATCATTTTCCTTTCATAAGTTATTATAGGCTTAGGCATTTTTTTTGTGTGTGTGTGATTATATTTGAATCCCAATTTCACAAAAAACAGCATTCGCAAGCATAAAGGGACCTGCAGAAGATCCCTACACCAGCCCTGCCTGCGCCAGAGTCCTGCCCAGGGCCCAGGTCCTACTCCTGCAGTGTCCATGCTAATCCTGTCTGCTCATTCAGAAGGTTCCTGGACCCCTCTGTGTTGTCCCCCACATGCCAGGCCAGGCTGCTGCAGCTGACAGGGCCACTCATGGGTGTGGCCTGATATGTGGCCCAGGCAGTCATGGTCCACAGCCCTCAGCTGCACCTGTTCCCTGAGTTCCCAGCACCTTCCTCTCACAGGGCAGAGAATCTGCTGACCTGCTGCCCAGACCAGAGCTCATGTGGCAGCTGGGCCACCCAGGCAGGGAGGTTTTTGTTCATGGCTGCACTACTGTGGGAAGAGCATGTGTCCCTTGCAAGCAGTAATACACCCCAGCATCCTCAGGCTCCACCCTGCTGATTCTCAGTGTGAACTCTGTCCCTGAGCCACTGCTAGTGAACCTGTCTGAGACCCCAGTGTTTTCATTGGAAACCTTATATATTAGACTCTGTGGATCCTGGCCTGGCTTGTGCACAACCCAATGCAAATAGGTGTTTCCATCACTGTGTAGGAAGCTCTGACTGGACCTGCAGGAGATGGAGGCTGGCTGTCCAGGGGTGATGGGCTCAGAGAGAGGAGTCTGGGTCATAACAACATCCCCACTGAATCCTGGGAAAACAAAAAACAGGACAATGCAAGGTCATGCAAAAACTTTAGGAAAATTTGTGCTTTTTCCTTTATTGTGTATTTCAGGTTAACTTATTATTGTGATTTTTATTTATACAGTCGAATTATTCATGTTTAAAAATACCTCAAATATTGTAACCTATAAGATCTTCTGTAGAATTGACCTACAATACCCCCTCTTATTATGTGACAACTTTGATCAGAGCCAGTCCCTTGCTCCTTCTGGAATACTGTCTCACATCAGTTGACCTCAGCTGCCTCATCCTGGAGGACAGACCTGCACAACCCTCATGTGGACAGAGCACATATGGGCAGAAGGGGGGCCCAGGTCTCCCCTCCCTCCCCCTTATCCCTCTCCATCCCCTCTGTCCTCACCAGGGATCCAGAGCAGCAGCAGCCCCAGGAGCTGAGCAGGGAGCCTCATTTTGAGAAGCTGAGCTGAGGAGTCCTGGTGAGTCAAGGGCAGGTTAGAGCTGAGCTTTTATGTCAGCCTTGCAGGAAGGTCCTCCCCAGGGAGCAGCATGCAAATGCCCTGGTGGGTGCTGGGTGGGGAGAGTGAGGGAGGGTGGGGTCTGCCTTGTGAGACCAGGGACATCAAGTATCTTTATATTTGTAGGAAATAGTGAAACAGCCCATGGTGCCTGTGGTGTGTGCAGGAGGTCCCATCAGAACCCAGACTCTGTGGGAGGTCATGGTTTCAGGGTCTGTTACCTGAGATAGGAGAGATATAAGGACATTCAGGCTGCCTGCTTCTCAGCATCTGGGAGGAAGTCACATCCTGCTGACTTCATCCAAGATAAGGAGACAAGGTGACAAGTCCCACCTCAGAAGAATAGATTTTCTGAATTTTCTACCAGCCACAGCATGCAGTTGAGCTACATCAAGAGCTTCTGTGTCTGCTGTGACCTGGAGAAATACAAGAATGTCAGGGGCAGTGTTAGAGGATGTCTCTTCGTAGCCTAATGAATGAAATAGGATCACAAGGGTCAAAAGAAGCTGGTGGGGAAAAGAAACCTGTGACTCAGCTGGAGATCCAGTAGCCCTGCCCACAGCAAGAGGAGAAGGGACATGTCCACCTGAAGCTGTGAGTGTGAAATTCACATGAGGTAGATCTATAAATGGGTGGTCATCCTGTCCTAGTCATCTCCATGTGTGTGACTCTCAGAGTCAGCCAAACCTTTTCCTAGAGAAGAACCCCTGGAGGTCACTTGACAGAGTGGACAAGGGAGGATGTCTTGTTAGTTTCTTCTCAGTGAAGATAGGGAATTCCTCGCCCCTCTGCTGTTCCATGTCAGGGACATTGGCCTGCAGTTGTAACAAGTCCTGTGTTTAAAAGTAGATTCCCTGGGTTGGAACAGGACTGTGTCCACTCTCTCCATTTCTCAGGGTGATTCCCTCTGCACTCGCAGTCTCCTGGGTCTTGCCTCAAGGGGCTCACTGGGGAGAGGGCTCTGGGTCACTGCACAGGGACATTAGTTTCAGACTTTCCCCTCCCAAGCTGGAGACAGTGAGCCTGTTTTGTTTTTGGCCCACAAGGCTGAGCTGCTTTTCCAGACAACCCAGGTCCTCTGACACACCCTTTCCATGGTGTGGAACTCAGTGCGGGGCCCTGAGCAGCTCAAGACCCTGGCATGGTTCCTCTTAGTCCCTGTGAACCTCTGTGGCTGTCCTTCTGACCTCAGTGAGCAGCTTCCCTCTGAACACTGAGGAGCAGCTGTGTTTGTAGTTCTCCAGATCACATTCTTCAGGTGCCTTTTCTAATGAGTGGCTTAAAGGAAATGAAAGTGACTTTCTCAGGTCTCCTTGGGCAGCAATAGGCAAAGCTCAGAATTTAAGAAGGTCTAGAGGGTGGGACACCTTTCTGGAAAGTGGGTTGGGCAGAGTCACTAATCTTTCCTCTCCTTGCTCTCAGCACCTCCTTAGGCCATGTGCTGTGGTGCCCTCAGGGTGTGGCCCTGGTCTGTCCCAGGTGCAGTTGAAATCTGATTATAAAATCATATTTTATACCTGATTTAATTATTAAGCTATTTTCTAGGTAGCTAGGTTTTCCTTTGCGAACATTACACTTCAGTGCCCTGCTTAAATTGACAATGTTTTTACTGGTGCATTACAGTGTGCATAATATTGGGCTTTGGGACACAATCTTACAGGAATGGAATTTAATTCACTCTATTTCAGTCCTCAGTGCCTCCCTTTTCCCTCTTTTTTCCCTTCCCATATAACTCTCATGTTCTCTCCTTGCCTTCCTTCTGTTTACTTTTTTAAATTAATTTTTTGTTTATTTGGTCCATTTATTTTTATTTTGGAAAAGGCAAAAATACTTTACCTGATCAAATTATTAATTCTCCATGTGCATAAGTGTTTGTTTTTTTAAAAAGATAACATTTTACAATGTTCCTTACAATTCTTGTTTCTGATTGATTTATTTGTTCTAATCAGTTGTATGATACCACAATGCTTGTTAATACATTATACACAAATCTAACAGAATGTTTGAATTCTCTGGTTGTATTCACAGTAGGGTCACATCATTCGTGCAATCATACATCTGCCTAGGTAATAATCTCATCTCATGTTCATTCTGTCTATTTATCTACTTGTTTTTCATGGGTGTGTTACAGATATCCATGGAGCTACAATTCACTGTGGTCATTTAGTGTCTGTCCCCATGTGAATGGTGACATTGTCTCACACTGTTTCCAGGCCTGTGTCCTCCTCAGTGAAAGTGGGGTCTCTGGTGTATGAAAGTCACCAGTGTCCTCACCATCCAAGGGACATGTTCCAGACTAGGCTGAGGCCAGGGAGGCGTTGGACTTGGGGCCAAGTGTAAGGAGCTCCCCAATGTGGGTATTTTCATGAATTTTATTTTAATGTAATATTTTTAAAAAGTTAAAATTTATGCAAAATAATTCAATATGAAAAAAGTAAGAAATTTAAAAAACTAATGGATCTATCTTAAGAATGAAGACTTATCAGTAAATTATTGGTTTGTAATGTGGCGATCTGTATTTGGAAATTACTTTGGTCTGTGAATTGTCCTTTTTCTGTCACCAGGTGTACTTGACCAGGGTTGCAGTGTGTAGTGAAGGAACATGGGATGGGATGCCACCAGAGTAGTTAAAAACCATCTCATCAGCAGACAGAAAGCTGTGCAGTGCACAGAGAAACCTGTGGCATTTCATGACCTTGGCTGTCAGGAGAGTGTCCCCATGAGGGCAGAGCCCTAGGAATCTAGTTTCATGGACCAAGAACACCTCCTGAACACACATGTTCTGTCTGAGCCTGTTTTCTACATGTATGATGAAGACAAATGTCAGGCAGGGGTCTGGCTCCTCATAGCTCTGTACCCTGAGAACAAAAGCAGTTCCTCAGCTTGGCTCTGATCACAGGAGGGCCCCCTGAAGAGGAAGGCTGCTGAGCCACCTTCCTGGAAGCACGCAGTGCCTGAGAGTGGCCAGCAGAGGGCAGCACAGAATCCTCTATTTCCAGGTCAACTTCAGATTCTCCAGGCGTGCTGGGAGCACAGAAGAGGTGTCTGCACCATGTGTGTATCATGCTCAGGAGCTGGAGAGAGCAGGGGACACCAGGTCATTGCTCCGGATAAAAAGATGGACTTTGGAACTGTTACAGACTCTACTTTTGCAGATTAAATGCCAGTAATTATCATTTTCTTTATTGATCTTCTCAAATTCAGGTGGGTCAAGTTTGAGCACACCAGGTGGTGTCAGGTTAGGCACCATGGAGCCATGTAACCTCAGAATCATTGCTCTGGAGTGTCCTCTTACCTGAATGTCTCAGGTAAGAAATGCCATGTTTAAGTTCACACACATGCAGGATAAAAGGCACAGGTTGTTTTATTCACTATTAGAAAAAAACCCCACAATTTTGTCTGGATGTGTTAAGGGGGCATTTCCTGTCCTCTGCAAAGACCCAAGGATGTGTTCTCCAGATTCTGTGTAAAAAGTTTTATACATTTTCCTCAATCTAAAAATCTCAATTTTCTAGCTACAGAAACTTGGGTTGAAAGTTATTTTTTAGTATTTAAATATGTTGTTTATGTTCCTTTTGTTCCATTGCCTTGTTTCCTTCCTTCCTTCCTTCCTTCCTTCCTTCCTTCCTTCCTTCCTTCCTTCCTTCCCTCCCTCCCTCCTTTCCTGGCCCTCTTTCTCCCTCTCCTCTCTTCTTCATATGATGTGTTATTTTGCAGCAGGTTTTATTATTTTACCAGCATTATTAGTCTATATTAATTGGCTTAACATTTTTTTGAGTAATGAATCCACTCTGAGTTATATTTGAGGAAAAATAGAAGCTCTTCATTAATTCATCTGCCTGTTTACAGATTTAGTCTCTGCTCAGAACCCACCATCCAGGCAATGTGCCTCCCTATCTGCTGAGGGCTTTGCATGGGCCCTGCACCAGCCCAGCTGCCACATTTTATAAACAAAGTCATTGCCATGAGACCTGAGCTGACTCAGGCAGGCAGGGGAAGCCAGATGATGTCCCAGACACCGTGGTTCTTGTTTCTGTGGCTCTGGGACTTCAATGTCTTCATAATTGTAGAGTTAGAAAAGCCATTAAAACATGTGCTGGGAAATTATGGTGAATTTCATATGGACCTAATTATGAGCTGATCACACATCCCTAGATAATGGATGTTAAATGATATTTCAAAGTACATATTATGAAACGTGCACATGTGTGTGAGTGTGCATGTGTATGTGTTTGTGTGTGTGTGTGTGAGAGAGAGAGAGAGACAGAGAGAGAGAGAGAGAGAGAGAGAGAGAGAGAGAGAGAGAGAGAGAGAGAGATGTCAGGGTACACTCCTGATTTTCCTGATTGAAGGTGCCTTTGGTATAATGTGAGACCCAATCTCCAGGCTCCCTGACTGTGTCTGCAGGAAACATGGTCACCATCAGCTGCAAGTGTAGCCAGAGTCTTTTATCAACCATAAGGACTATGTGGCCTGGCCCCAGCAGAATCCAGAATAGGCTACCTGGTTCCTCTCCTGGGCATCCACATGGACAGCTTGAATCCCATGCAGCTTCAGGGGCAGTGGGTCAGGGGCAGATTTCCCTCCCCATCAGCAGCCCCAGGTTGAGACGTCACAGGTTGTTCCTGTAGCAGCACCACAGTGCATCTCCCAAGAGCCTCAGCCTCAGCCTCAGGCACAAGCCTCCACCAGGCTGAGGGTCAGGGAGCCTTTGCTCAGCTGCTTCCTCCTCACAGGGCTCTGGGTTTTCCTGCTTCCTCTCCCCTCACAGGTGACATATTTTGATTGATTTCTTGGAGGATTTGCAGGGCCCAGGAGAAAATCAAGAACAGAACCTTTATCAGCCATGTATCTGTTTATTCATCTCGTGGGAGACACCAAGTCCAAGGCTGGGAGGTCTCCTGGGGACAGTACAAGAGTTTTCAGGTTATAGGAAACTGTGTGTTTCCATGGATAGATCACGTGACTGAGCAGGCATTAGTCCTCACCCCAAAGGAGAATCTGGTGACTTCCACACCCTGATGACTAGTACTTCCCTGTGCCTCGTCCAATATAGAAGATACCAACTTTTATTCCTTGTCCTCCTGGCCTCCTTCATGACGTGCAATCTCCCAGCAGATCAACCCTCTCATAGAGACAGTCTCTCTCTCTCTCTCTCTCTCTCTCTCTCTCTCTCTCTCTCTTATTACCTATCCCTCTGTTTTCATCCTTGGTCAGACCCTGGCTTCTGAGGAGCCTTTCTGGTGAGGTCCTCTGTAAGTGGTCCCCTGGTCTCCCTCCTCTTGTGGTTGCTTGCTCTCCCTCCTCTTGTGGTCCTCTGCTCTAACTTCTGTCAGCTGTTATCTCAGTTTCCTTTTTATTTCCATAGTTTATTTCAAAATATTATAAAATAAATTTCTGAGAAAAAGATGAATTTCCGCTCTGGTTGAAGACCTCTGATTCTTTACCTGAGTCCTTCCCTGGGCCCAGGTCCTCCTCCTTCTGCAGTGTCCACTGTCATCTGTCTGTTCATTCAGAAGGTCCCTGGACACCTTTGTGCTTGTCCTCCACATGCCAGGCCAGGCTACTGCAGCTGACAGGGCCACTCATGGGTGTGGTGAGAGCTGTGGCCCAGGCAGTCATGGTCCACATGACAGCTGCACCTGTTCCCTGAGTTCTCAGCACCTTCCCCTCACAGGGCAGAAAATCTGCTGAGGTGCTGCTCAGACCAGAGCTCATGTGGCAGCTGTGCCACCCAGGCAGTGAGGTTTTCATTCAGGGCTGTACTACTGTGGGAGGATACTCTTAACCTTGCTGGCAGTAAAATATTCCAGCATCATCAGGATGCACCCTGCTGATTTTCATTGTGAAATCTGACCCTGACCCACTCCCTCTGAACTTGTCTGAGATTCCAGTGAACCAACTGGAAACCCGATATATTAGGCCCTGTGGAGCCTGGCCTGGCTTGTGCACAAACCAACTCAAATAGGTGTTTCCATTACTGTGTAGGAGGCTCTGACTGGACCTGCAGGAGATGGAGACTGACTGTCCAGGGGTGAAGGGTTCAGAGAGAGGAGTCTTGGTCATCACAATATCCCTACTGGTTCCCATTTTTTTTTACATTGCAGACTAAATTAATTTTTGTTTATGATTTATACACTAAAACTATTCATATACATAAAGAACTCAAATAGAGTAAGTTCTAAGAGCCTCTCTAGAATTCTCTTCAACATCCCTTTGTATTATGTGACAATTTTCATCAGAGCCAGTCCCTTGCTCCTTCTGGAATACTGTCTCACATCAGTTGACCTCAGCTGCCTCATCCTGGAGGATAGACGTGCTCATCCTTCACGTGGACACAGCACACATGGACAGAATGGGGGCCCAAGGCTCCCCTCCCTCTTCTTCTCCCTCCCCATCCCCTCTGTCCTCACCAGGGATCCAGAGCAGCAGCAGCCCCAGGAGCTGAGCAGGGAGCCTCATTTTGAGAAGCTGAGCTGAGGAGTCCTGGTGAGTCAAGGGCAGGTTAGAGCTGAGCTTTTATGTCAGCCTTGCAGGAAGGCCTTCCCCAGGGAGCAGCATGCAAATGCATTGGTGCATGCTGGGTGGGGAGAGTGAGGGAGGGAGGGGCCTCCCTGTGAGCCCAGGGACATCAGATATCTCCTATAGTTGGAGCCAGTACAATAGAGAAGCAGCCCATGCTCTCTGTGGCTTGGGTAGAAGGCCTTGTGATGGAAGCCTGGCTCTGTGGGGGTCAAGGTGTCCAGGGCTGCCACACTAGGACGGTACTGACCCTAAGCTAGGGAGGTTGTCTCCAGGTCAGCCTCCAGGTGGAGAATGCCAACTGGCTGGCTCCCTCTGAGCTAAGGAGAGAAGGTGAAAAGTGCCACCTGACATGGATCTATCAATGGATTTTCTTCCAGCCACTGCAGGCAGTTGAGGCAGCTGTAGAACTTCTGTGTCTGCTGTTATCTGGAGAAACAGGGGAGTGTCAGGGACAATGTTCGATGGCAGCTTTTCCTGGCCTAGTGAATGCAATAAGGGCAGAAGAGTCAAAATAAGGTGGTGGGGAAGGAAGAAGAAACCCTTGTGTCAACTGGAGATCCAGCAGCCTGTTAAGGCAATAGGAGATGTGACATGTCCACCTGAATCTGGGTGTGAAATTCCTGGGAACAAGATCTTTAAAGTCGTGAACATACTGTCTTCGTCATCTTCATGTGTGTGATACTCAGAGTCTTCCCATCACTTCCTCAGGGAAGAACCCCTTGAGGCCACTGGACAGAATGGACAAGGGGGAGCATTCTAGGTTAGTTCTTTCTCACTGATGAAAGAGCATATATTTGCCCTGCAGCTATTTTCTTTCAGAGTCACTGGGCAGCAGGTGTCACAAGTCCTGGGTTGAAGAGGAGATTTCCTTAGTAGAAGAGGACTGAGTCCAGGTTCTCCTCATGTCAGGGTGATTACATCTGCACTGATGATCTCCTGGGCCTTGCTCCAGTGGGTCACTGGTGACAGGGTTCTGGGCCCACTGCACTGGGTCATGTGTTTCAGACTCTTTCTTCCCTAGCTGGAACAGAGTGAGCCTGTGTTGTTTTGGCCAACAAGGCTGTGCTGCTTTTCCAGACAGCCCGGGTCCTGACACTCCCTCCACACAGTGGGGAAGTTGGTGTGTGGGCCATGACCAGCCAAGGCCCCTGTCATGGTTTCTCTAGTACCAATAAACCCCTGTGACTGTCCTCCTGTCCTGAGTGACAGCTTCCCTGAGAACACTGTGAGGAGCAAGTGGGTTTACATAGTGGTAATTTTGGATTTTGGAGGTGGGGTTCTCTGTGTTTCTTGATGAGCAGAAATAAGTAAAATGAAACAAAATGGTTGGAGTTCTTTTGAGAGGAAGAAAGCAAAAGTTTTGTGTTTGACAGGGTCCAGAGGGCTGAACAACTTAGTAGGAAGTGTGTAGGTCTGGGAAATTTGCTCATCTTTCAAATTCTATCCTTGGGAATATGGGAATGTCCTCCTGCCATGGACTGTGGGGCACTCATATTGAAGAAACTGATGGACTGTGAATCTCCTTTCTTTCTCTCTTTTTTTCTTTTTTTTAACCCAGCACCTTGTGCATGTGAAGCCAGTACTCTACCAATTACGCTAAGTCATCAGACCCCTTTTAAAGTGTGAATCTGATTGATTATAAGCTGGAATTTAATGTTTTATAAAGACCAAAGTGATGTCACCATATTATTTCTATTGGGTAAAAGTGATTGACCACATTGAATAAATGAAAATATTAAAATTTCTTGGTTGTTAATAACATTTCTGGTTTAATGCTAAAATTTCATGAAATGTTAAACAATTTGCTTTGGATATGAAATGTCCTCGGATGTCAATAATATTTGGTTTATTAATGTGTGTTATGTTTTTTGTTCCATGTCCTGGTGCATCATGTCATTTTATAATTTGTTTTTTCAATGTGCTTTCACAGCTCCAAATCTGACATCTGGGAGGACTCTCCTCTCCATCATGTTTATTGTTTTCATTCCTAGTCAAGTGATCCTTCTGAATTTGGGTGCAGAACCTCTGACTCTGTGGTCTTGGGCCTTACAGGACCACTTGTGAGAATTCAAAAGGACTTGGGGTGGCCGTACCTCCTCAGAGGCTCCATGTAGCCGCTCAGCAGTGAGGCTGTAACTGAGCCAGGCTGGTGGCCCTTCCCCTCTCCAACATGCATCTTGGAATAGCAGCCTTGGCAGGGTGGGGGCAGCCCACTTCCCAGGGGATCCTTCTTCTCCCTCCCCCTCCCTGCTTACTCAGAGCCAGCTGCAGTCCTGGCAGTCCTGGGAGGATGGTGTTCAGGGTCCTGGTCACACTGACCCTAGCTGAGATCCTAACCCCTGGCTTGAATGGGGCCCTGCAGGGCTCCCAGGGATGGGTTCTGGGCTGCCTTCTGGCTGTGGCTGCAGAGCCAGATCCTGAGCTCTGGTGTGGGCAGTGCTGTCACAGCCTCAGGGTCAAGGTGGCCACAGCTCAGGCCTGTCCTGGTCATGGGTAATGGAAACTGGCCCCAAGGTTGTCACTTCCCTTTGTCTCTCTTTCTTATTTTACCATTTCCTCAATCTTCATTCCTACCTCCCTCTGTCCCTTCATTTCCACAATTTTTTCTATATTTTGTTGTGTGTTTTTAGCTTTTAAATTATTATACAAGAATTCTTGATTTTAGGTGTCACTTCTGAAAAACTCAACTCAAATATATTTCCTATGATTGCTGAACTTCGTCTATCTATCTATCTATCTATCTATCTATCTATCTATCTATCTACCTACCTATCTGGTATTTCAGCCTGTATATATAGCCTATCATTTCTTAAAAGTCAATGTATTGTAATATATTTCCTCACATTTCTGAACTCTCTCTCTCTCTTTCTCTCTGTCTCTGTCTCTCTCTCTATATATGTATGTATATATGTATAATATACATGTATAATATGTATTTTAATTCATGAACTTAGCCTGTCATTTCTGTACAATTAAACCTATAAATATCACTTTGATTAAAACTAAGCCCCTCCTTCCATCATTGAGTAGATTGCATTCTTTGAACTTCTATGTTGAGTTCTGTGTTTTTTGTTCCCCAAACTATACTTTCTGGTATTTTTATGTCTTAAATGATAACAAATACTCCCCTCACCCTTGCAGTACAGGTTTTTTGCTTTCTTATTTGCTAATGGCTTTGCAAGGCTCCTGCAGGCTCAGCCCTGCTGTCCACAGTTTATACATGAGGACTTTGCAATGAGACCTGAGCTCAAAGGCGGACAGGGCCAGCAGGTTGTTGTCTTAGACACAGTTGTGCATTTTCCTGTGGCTCTGGGCCTCTAGTGAGAGATTTAAGTGCTGGATATCTTCAGATTAATAGGTTTATAGGGCTGGCAAGCTAATTTTTAGATATAGTGAGAAAAAATGACTACTTCCCATATGGACCTAATTGTGTGCTGACTTTTAATACTAATTGAAATTGAATATCAAATGAAATGATCCAATGCATATGTGAAAAATTTGTGTGTGTGTGTGTGTGTGTGTGTGTGTGTGAGAGAGAGAGAGAGAGAGAGAGAGAGAGAGAGAGAGAGAGAGAGAGAGTTAATGGTCCATTCCTGATTTTTCTGACCACAGGTGCTTGTGAGGACAAGGTGATGTCCCAGTTTCCAGGCTCCCTGGCAGTGTCTGCAGGAGACATGGTCACCATCAGCTGCAAGTCCAGCCAGAGTCTCTTATCCAACCACAAGGACTACATGGCCTGGCACCAGCAGAAGCTAGGACAGGTCCCAGGCTGCTGAACTCCTGGGCATCCATGTGGGCAGCTGGGGTCCCCTGGAGGTTCAGGGGCAGTGGGTCAGGGACAGATTTCCCTCTCCATCAGCAGCCCCAGGCTGAGGACATGGCTGATTGTTCCTATAGCAGCACCGCAGTGGGTTCTTGGGGATTGCCTAGGTGAGGATGCTGGGTTATTGGTGGCTGTTGGTCAAAGGCTATTGTAGGACCCTGCAGGCCACCAAAAGGTCCTACCATCTGGGCTGCTCAGTAATGCGACCAGTATAAAGAATCCTTCCACCAGAGTGAGAGGCTGACTCCCTTTTAAGGGCTCTGATGTGAATCAATCAGGCTCACCCAGAATAATCTCCTTTTGACTGACTTAAAATGAACTGCCTTGGCATGTTAATTATATCTGCATAATAATCCCTTCACCTTTCCAATATTTCTGAAACCAAAAGCAAACCTCATATTCTGTCAACTGTGCCCATATCTGTGGATTAGTGAGTGTGAACATCAGCTAGTAGGTGTCTTGAGGAGGGAATATTTCTTATAATATTGATATTTTAAAAAATTATTTCTCCAAAATAGTCCCTGTGAGAAGACCATTAAGAATAGAAGCTACTTTAGGTGATGAGCATCAGAAATGTACCTTCAGGTGATTTCTTACCCAGTTTCCCAGGTCCTCGTGTTTCTCAGATTCTTGTCAAGTGAGAGAAAATTCAGATTATCTATTGCTTTAGGAACAAATATAAACACATGAGGAACAAGTAATGTAATCATAGGACTCTCAATATTTTTAATAGTAAAGAAATAAGAAAAGTTTAATATCCATAGCCCAGTTTCTCTTTCAACAAACTAATAAAAGAAGAGGTGACCAAACCCAAATCAAGCCAAATCAAGGAAATCAAATTATAAATACCAAATCCTGAAAGAGTTTCTCAAGATGGTCTTGGGTCAGAGGAAGGCGGCACTGTCCACCTGCCCCTCAGCTCAAGACTGTCAATGTGAAGCTGTAACTTTCCTTGGGGACTCTGCCTCATAGCTGCTCTGGGAGCTGCACCTCCCCTGTGAGCACTCTGCAACCTACAGGATCCTGTACTGTGAGACAGAGCTGAGAGCTGCTGCAACCAGCTTTGGCTGAACTTTTCCTGAATTTCATGATTTTACAACTTTTGGAGAGCTCACAAAGCTGTTTTGGAGAATGTCTGACAATTAGGATGTTTGTCTACCACTCATGGTAGAGTTTAGCTGCTGCATCTCTGGCAGGGATATCTAGAAATGATGCTCTTCTGTTAGGGCTCCCTAGTGGGTGGTGCCTGATTTCAATCTGTCTCACTACTGCAGATGTTCACATTGATTCCTGGGTTAAAGGAATGTTCCAGACTTCTCTTTTGTAGTGCCTCTTTGGCTATTTGAAATGAACATGTGGCTGGGGTGTGACTAAGTGGCAGAGCACTTACCTAGTACGCTCACGGTCCTCTCGATGATCCATCTCAAACAATAGAGCTCAAAAAGAGTTAACATGAAATTGTTGAAAAGTTCCTCAATCCTTTATAGATATCCCATTCCTCTTCAAAGTACCAGTATCAGGCTGAACTCATGGATCATCTTTTGTTTAATGGGCTAGTCTGTCCTAATTACAAATCTTGACTCTCAAGATTATCCAGACCTGGCCAGTGAGAGGCTCCTTCCTGGTAATTTCTCTTTCCTTTTGCCAGGGTCTCATCATTTTTGGAGGACTTCTTTTATTCCCAACTCAAGGTGGTGCAGGGGTTTCTTATCCTAAGATTCCTTTAGTGGCAAATAAATCTGGGCACTGTGAGTTCGTGTTGGGAGCATGGGCTATTGTGCCTGGGTTAAAGAGAATGTGTAAATAACTCTGTCAATCAACCCATCTATGGACCATAACATCTATCATCTCCTGATATATCTGCATGCACACTCCTATCTATTCCTACATACAATTCTGAGTTTATTCTGATATTTGTTTCTAGTCAAAATCGTGTTTGTTCTAGCGATGTCCCTTTTTGTTTGGGATCTCTTCCACCTACAGTGAGAATCCTGGCTCTGATTGACTCTGGTGCATTGTTTCCCACCAACATTTCCCTGACTGAAAGCAACTTCTTGACATTGGCCTGCCCTCCATTAGACAGCCTCATGGCCACTGGTGAATGTACCTTGATCCTGCTCTGATACCCCTTGTCAGGACACAACCCAATTTACACACATGTACGGGTGCTGTGTCAATTGCCTTTTGTCACTTTGAAAAAAACCTGGGGGTAAAACACTTAAGAGGAGGGAAGAGTTATTCTGGGTCATGGTTTCAGTACATGATCAGCTGGCTCCAAGGCAGAAGTATCATGGCAGAAGGGCTGGGTGGAGGAAAGCTGCTCAGCCATGGGTCCAGGAGGTACTAGGAAGGGCTCAGTGTAAAGAAGCACCCTCCAGGGCACAATCTCAGTGACCTACTCCTTCCCACTAGGTTTCCCCCCCTCCAAATCCTTTAAATCTTTGGCCCTTCAAATGGATGAGTACCGAAATGAGGTCTTCACCCTGTGAAACTTTGGGGGACCCTTTATATATAAACTGTAACAGAATCCTTCTTTCCACTGTCTATGTCTCCCACCTGCCCACTGGGGCCACAGTGCAGTGTGTCTTCCTCACCATACTCAACATTTGACCTGCACAGGGGCCTGCACTAATATCATCTGCATGAGAGGACACCCTCCTCCCCTTGCTCCAGTGTCTCCTCCACCACCCAGGTGTCCTCTTGCTGCAGTAGCCTGGAGGGTCTTCCAGCCCAGTCCACTGACACACCTTTCTCCTCACCAAGCATGTGCCCCCAGACTTGCACCAGCCTCTGGGTACAGTGTACTCTTAGGAACTGGGTGAGATTTGGTGACAGAATAAAGACAGGTTAGGAAACACGGTAGACTCAGGGCAGAGGAGCAGCTGGTCCAGGAGACATTTAGCTTCTGAAGCCAAAGCTCAGGTGGATCTGGGGGAGGGGCACACACAATAATGAGAGAATCTCAGGGACCACGTGGCCTGATGGGTGAAGCAGCCTGCAGACAGGGAGGGAGCTGACATTTCAGGTGTGGAAGGCCCAACTCTTGACCTTGGTAGCCAAGGTCAGAGAAAGTGTTGGAACCTTCAGAGTGGAGCAGGACCAGAGCTCAGCTGGGATGAAAGGACAGCACAGGCACATGGTCAATGACCTTCCCTTCCTTACCAACCATGGTGCCTGCCCTTGATGTGTTTTGTCCCTTTCTGTTGCTTCCTCTTACCCCTCTTTGCATTTCTGGCTGGTAACACTGATAATTTTTCATGCCCAGGTCTTCAAGGAGTCAGGTGTAGAGGAAGCCTCTCTGGAATAAATATTGTGCTCAGGTATAAACAGGAAGAGGTCAGTGACTCCTCCTGCAGGGTGTGGGGCTGTGACAGAGCTCAGGAACTGAGCAGGACAAGTGTGTCCTGAACCTTGATGAGACCAAGAGGTCTCTCTGCTCACAGGAACGAGGGATGGTTCTCTCCTGTGCCTCTCAGGAGACACATTTTTTCTAGGCAAATGTGTGCTGCCCTGGCCTATGCTGGGACACCTGGGGACACTTGGCCAGCCCTGAGAGGAGCCTCCCTGCAGCTGTGCCCAGCCTGCCCAGCCCTGCTGATTTGCATGTGCCCACAGCACAGCCCACTGCCAGGAGGACTTCTTAAGAGGCTGCTCACACCCTGTGCAGGAGTCAGTCCCAGTCAGGACACAGCATGGCCATGAGGGCTCCTGCTCAGCTCCTGGGGCTCCTACTGCTCTGCCTCCCAGGTTAGGAGGGACAGCACTGGAGTGCCAGGTTTCTGTTCTCTCGACTAAAAGGCTCAGGGGTCACTCTAGTTAAACTGGGCTAACTGGGCTGCATGAAATAACCACACAAGAGACACAAATACCTTTTTCTTTGGGGTTGCTGTGGGGGCTCCTCTGACCTTAAGGGTCTGCAGAAAGAGAGAGAACAAGAGCACGTGCTGACCCATTTTATTGAGGACAAGCTATTCAAATGAGGCAAGGGGTCAGGTTTCAGGGGCTGAGTCTATCTTCATGATGTCTACTGTCAGCAGGTTGACTGACACCTGGGTAGGCCACACCCAAGGGCACAGTAAGAGGAGGGGACACACACAAGGCACTTCCATGGAAGATTCTATCCTAAACAGGGCAAGGGGTTATATTACAAAGGAACAGGTGAGCATAGCTTCACCCATGGGGCTGTAGCAAGACACACCCATTTCTGTGACTGAGCGCTTCAGCACCCAGCTGGGGAGTGTAACTCAGTCACACATAAGGTTGGCCTCCCACACTGGGGATTTGCTTAGACCAATTTCATCAGTGCTGCCTGGTGTTCAGGGAAATTTTCTTATGACATTATTAACTGTGTGCATACTTCTTCTCATGTTTTCAATTGAAGGGGCCAAATGTGACATTACAATGACCCAGTCTCCAACCTCCCTTCTAAATCTGAAGGATAAACAGTCACCATTAGGTGCCAGGCCAGTCAGGGTATTGGCAATGAATTAAGCTGGTACCATCAGAAACCAGGGCAAGCTCCTAAGCTCCTGATCTATTATACCAACGTTTGCAATCTGGGGTGCCCTTGAGGTTCAGTGGCAGTGGATCTGGGACAGACTATTCTCTCACCATCAGTAGCCTGGAGCCTGAAGATGTTGCCACTTATTTCTGTCAACAAGATTACAGTTTCCCTCCTGCAGTGACACAGGCCATGACAACAACCACCCAGGGAGCAGAAGTATGAGGCTGGGCTGCCCCAGCTTCTCCTCCTGTGCCTCCACCTGCTGAGGGCACAGCTCACAGGCAGCCAGACTTTGAGGGCCACAGAGAGGTTTTTCTTGGCCCTGACAAGTTCCTCTGTACCCTGTTTTTTTCTCCTTGTTAGTCCCAGTGCTCAACCATCAGATCAGGCCCACATGAGTGGATGTCTCTGAAGGTGTGTGTCCTGCTCTGTGCAGTAGTGCTCCACCAACCAGTGAGTGACAGGATGCTAAAAGAAGGGAAATCAGGAGAAGCACTATGGTGAGTTCTTTCCCTGTGGGTGCAGGACCCTGGTGCTGGGTGGGCTCAGTCAAGCTGCCCAGGGGAATAGAATTGGTGTTCAGAGACAGATAAAGGCATAGATGGTCAGTTTCTATGATAGAAATTTTATTACAAAAACTATGAACAAAACTTCTTCAGAGGAAATGTTCTCTATTAGCCCCATGTGCAAACATTCATACAGTATATAAAAACGGGCTCAACATCAATAATCATCAGAGAATTAAAGTTGCAACAAAGCAGCAGAAACCTTCAGAAGAAAGGTCATAAAACTGAACCTTGAAAAACATAGAGTGCAGCCTGAGGAATAATCTAGAACACTCTCATGCGTTTGGAAATGTGAAGTGGTAACTGAGTTGGAGACCTGCCCTGACCATGCACGTACCTGTGATCCAGGTTTTCCACTCAGAGCACTGCAGATGTGCACAGATTCCCATGTGCAGGGACCTCACATCATTATCTATGATAACTGCATCCTGAATCATCTAAATTCCAATCAAGGGAAGAATGGATAAATAGAAAAAGGGAAGTGCATGTAGTGGAATACTATACACCAGTGAAAATGGCCACTGACTTCCAGAACCCTGCAAGAGTACAAAAGAGCTAGATACACCACAGTTCACTACCCATGATTCTATTTTTATGAGGATCAAAAACTGGCAAAATTTGATAATTGCTTAAAGATAGCTTACAAATTCCATGGGAAAAAGGGGGGTCAATGACTGGTTATTCTTCCTTTACAGTCTTTTTCCTAGTATTTTGCAGACATTATTCTCTTTCCTCCTGCCTGCATGTTTCTTCTGAGAATCTCTGAGAGCCATATGGAAGTTCCCTTGGATGTTGTGAGTTGCTTTTCTCTTGTGGCTTTCAAAACTATCTCTGCAAATTTTCATAATTTGTTTATATTATATTTTAGTGTGACCATCTTTAGGTTACTCCTATTGGGACCTTCAAGCATAGTTAACCTGAATGTCCATATTCCTCCTATCATCTGGGAAATTTTTAAGAATTATTACTTTTAACAATTTTTTCCTCATTAAATGTCTCCTATTTTTATGGATTACATATATGGCATTTGTTGATTTTTTTGAACATTTCCCATACACCCAGTATGTTTTAGCCATGCCTTTGTTTCTTTTTCTTTATTCTCTTTTGAGTGGATACTTTCACACACTCTAATTCACAGGTGCTTTCTTCTCCAGGGTGGAATAGTTGACGTTTCTATAGCATTTTCTCATCTCAATCAGTATCTTCTTCAGCTCTAGAATTTCTGTTTGAAGGGAAAATTAATGCAGCAATGAAATTTTCTTTGTAGCAATATAGATTTATAGATGTCAGAATAAAAGTGAGTTTCAGCAGCCTGGAATAATTTGAGGCATGCCAAGGCAGGAGTGTGGATGGTGTGTGTGGTCACTACTTTGGCCTGTTTCTCTTACTTTATATATTTTTTCTTTGCAATGCTGGGCATGAAATTGAGGGCCTCATGCATCCCATGCAACACTCTACCACTGAGCTACTCACCGCTCTTGGCTCATAACTGAAACTCCAGGAACCTCACAGCAGAATTAGATTTCATGGATCCGTCCTACCTATATCTTGAGCAATTAGACAAATCAAGAGAGGAGAGACAATCTGGCCCTGCCCTGCAAGTATCCTAGAGAAGGACCATGACAGTGGGGTGGGGAGAGGAAGGAGGAAGAGAATCTGACATGTAGCCTAAACTATGGAGAAACAGAGAGTCAGAGACCTGGGTTCCAATGAGAAATCCCCTCAGCACAGCCCTCAGGTTCCAACAACTAGAGAGGATTTTATTTATTCACGTCCCACTGAGCTGAGATAAAGAAACCAGAAGCCCCATCTGAAGAGATATTCAGAGTATTTAAAATACTTCTTTCATGCTGGGCCTCTTGTCTCCTGCTTTTTGCTGGGCTCAGGACTGGAGAAGGAGGATGGACACAACATTGTCCCTTGACATCTGGTTTAGACCTCAGCTCTGCCTGACATCGGTGAGTGACCTGGGTGGACATTTCTGCTCTGGCCTCTTCCTGGGATCCCAGGAGTGACAGCTGGTTTCTGGGCTTATCTCTGAGTGTGAGTGTGTGAGTCCTGAGGTGGACATGTGAGGGGGGGTTTCTTCCTGGAGCTGCAGAACATCAATGTGGAGAGCAGAGGGCACAGGACCCTGCGGACCAGGTGTGGCT